GTAACTGCATTGTGGGAGTACGGTTACTATAAATACTGCCCTCTAGCTGCATTGTGGGAGTACGGTTACTATAAATACTACCCTGTAACTGCATTGTGGGAGTACGGTTACTATAAATACTGCCCTGTAACTGCATTGTGGGAGTACGTCACTGTCTCATAGAACTTTTCATGATATGAACCTGTAATGCTCATTTCTTGGTGTGACAATGATGTGCCAGAAAATGATACATAGATATAGCAATCTTCATCAACATCTTACTAAAGTTATGGTATTTGTAATTTTGTAATGTAAAATTCACATTTATAAATTTTAAGTAAGGCCAGACTTTTATTATCCCTTGTTTTGCGAACCCGCCGAATGAACAGGAGCCGAAAATAAAGTAAAAATAAAATTTTATTTCAGCGTAATTTCTCGTGCTGACTTGTAGCAAAAAATTGCTAAAAAAAATTATTTTTATCTTCATTTTTTTCCGCCCGCCGCATAACAAACTCAAGTTGCATTTTCGTGGGAGTATCATGATCAAAGTACGGAAGTCCCATGCAGATGAGAAACAAGGTTATACATGGAATAAAATTTTATTTCATTACTTCTCTCCAATCAATGATCTCACTTACATTTCTTTGAGAATCACACAAATCTAATGGAAAAAAAAAAATTATTTTATTTTATTTTTCGCCCTCCTCAAAAAAACTCGAGAAACAAGGAATAAAAAAAGTCTGGCCTAAATGCAAAATAAATTAAACAGGCATATACACGCATACTGCCATCAAGCTGCATTGTGGGAATGAGTTTACTATAATACTGCATTGATCTACATGTACATGTACTTAGTTCCCTTTCTCGACTAATCGCTAAATACCGACTTTTTGGTGGTTTCTTTTTTTCTGGTCAAGTTTGACTGTCACATTTTACTTTTCCTAAAATATTAGCATTCATTGTGACTATCATAAATGAGGTAATAATGGGTAAACCACTCTTTGACAATAATTTGTTTACGTCCACGAAAGATAGATAGTTTACCAGCAGATTTCAACATTGATATTTCACATTCGCATTGTATAGTGTCAGTACAGGTCAGACAATTGGGTAACATTGTAAAACATTCTACAACAAAGATAATGTAGACCATAATAATTAATTTGATATTGTATTTTTTCTTGTAATAATGTTAGCTTTTATGTGGAAATCAACTACAATGCAACTTGGATTCATAAAACAATAATTATTGATTATTTTTTTAATGCGATGCTCGACTAAGTACCTAAATTTGATTTTTGGAGGAGTACCCTAGGAGCTAAGTCAGCCGAGTACAGTTGAATACTGCCCTCTTCTGACACCCTAATTGACTATGATTCTAAACTACGCACATCATCCTAATGATGTGCTCATCATATAGTTCTTTGTTCAATCAAATGACAAATGGAGTTTACATTCAGTGCACCTGCTACCACACATTGCAATGGCTTCTAATCTGTGTCTATTGCATTTCAGCTAAATCCACCGAGTAAACCTGTGATGGCTTAATGACAGGAAGTGGCTCGCTTCAAGAACAATTTTGTTGTTGTTGTTGTTCTTCTACTTAATATTTTTTGCATAAATATAAGATGATTTTTTGACCACCTGTATCGCTGATTTATTTTTAAATGTATATGTTGCCATAGTTACATGTTCAGTAAAGAGAATGTGCTAATTAGAATAGTTTCTATTTTGTATTCATTTGAAATTTGGATCTCGTTATTGTTTTCAGTCAAAAGATAGGCAACATAGAGACTCGTATATGAAATTCAATACTGCTTGCGTAACAACTGGAGATTTCAGTAACAAGAGACGAAGTCACATAATATGTCATAAATTTATGAATAATTAACATATCTAGTTTTCACAATTTCTTCTAGTATTACATTAAAAATAAGTCTCATGTAACAAGCATTGCTGAAATATTTATTAATTTTTTTGTGAAATAAGCAAAAACAACATATCGATTGCGGAGGTGGATATGAATAAATAATTATGACAAAAGATGCTATAAATTGGTTGCCTGGAAGCAAATTTATCCAAAATACTTTTGGGAATACAGTGTGACGTAAGTACTTTGGAAATGAAACTAATCTCCTTTTATTTTTCTCTCAGGTTGCCAGAGTTTTTTATTATTTATGCGTAGTATCATTGCAGTATACAACACCCATCTTGTTATTACTATATACAACGTTTTTACTCAAAACATTAGGTAAGTTTTAAATTATCCGTATTAGTAAATATTATTTCTGTAACACCCTTTCATTAGTTGGATTATAAGGCATGACAAAAACAAATCTTGTTTATTTCTTGTTTTTTTATTGCACAAAATTTAGAAGCTGAGAGCAAATTGCAGAACGATCCGGCAGGTGCCTCCTGGCCTAATAAAAAGTTTGTTTTTTTGTCAATGTTTGTCCATCCGTCCGTCCGTCCATCTATCTATCTGGAGTCTATTTCAGAACCCTTTTATAGCTATTAGACAAGGCGTTTAGTCGGCCTTGTTTAAAATTTCTACTTCTCTCTTTTAGATTTTAGAGAGGTGACAAATTTCAATTGACACGTCTAAGTTTCTCCAAACCTGTCCATTTCCTGACATTTGCGAAAGAGCATTATATAAACCATAACAAGTATTCCATTTCAGTGTTGTTTTTTGATTCGCCTTTGTCATTTCTTAACTATAACCCTGTTAATGTTTACTTTATTTCTTTGGGTGCCATCATTTTTATTGCCAGATTTTTCTGGCAACATTTTGTCTGTCTTTTGTCTTTAATTTGATTGATAATTTTCGACCAAACAGACAATTTTCTATCGGCTACAGGTTTTAATAAAAAGTTTGCCTATTTTTATGTGTTTTATTTCGTGAAAGATGACAAATATTGAATTTGGTTTTCAAACTGTTAAAGATGTATGTAGCAAAAAATCCACAAAATTATGAAAATTATGAGTGAAATTATGTAGTACAAGATTTTCAATTTTGTTTTAATGATAGCAACCTTCATCCTTTATAGATTATGCTGATTATTAGTACTTGTTCAAACAAAGTTTGAAACGGGTACTTACAATTCGGTCTCCGTCCATCCGGAGTCATATTTCAGAACCCTGTGGACCAATTCTGTTCATTCTTTGCATGTGCCTAGTATTTTATCTGGGACATGTTCAAATGACGTGGTTTACTGATTTAAACCCAAGATGGCTGCCAGTCAGCCATTTTGTTTTTTGAATCTTATGCATGCTTTGTCAGTTTTTTTTAAGATTTTATACATACATTGTAAATTTAAGATTACATGTCCATGACAATTTGTTTTACAATCAGATTAAAAGATGGCTGACTGGTGGCCATTTTGCTTTTAGATCATACATGTACTACTATATCTCCAAAGCTATTTTCATTCATATTTGGCACATACATCATACATATTGGAATACATGTCCATGTCGGTTTGTTGCATTATCTGATCAAAGATGGATGAGTGCCATCCATCTTTTTTTTTTTGAAAATGTGATATCATGGACAGGATTTGTCAGTTTTCATTCAAATTTTATACAAATATTATATTGAGATTCATGTACATGTCCATGATGATTCGTTTTGTGTTTTGTATCTTTGTACATGAGTCTGGACAAATGAAATTCAGTTTAGATAGAAAAAACGCATGAATAGCATATCCTGTTTAATTTCTGACCATACATGTATATTTCAATTTTGGAAGAGTCATTTAATACCGGTACATCTAATTTCTGTTGATACTAGACCAGCCAATTATTCACTCTAAATTATTAACTATGCTTTTTGTCCATATTACTTTATTTTTGGCATGAATAACATTTCCCCTAATTCCAACAGGGACTATGTCATTAACAATGACTTGTTGTTTTGGATTCAAGATCAAAGCAGTGAAAATTAAATAATTATGTTATACTGCATGCAAAGTGTGATTAAAGTAAATGTTTGCTTCTTTCAGGTGGATACAACTCTGGAATCTTTGATGAATTTTATACTGGTGATAGCAGTGTTTTATCAACAAATCAGAATTCAATAACTGTAGCTAATTCTTCCTCAACATCTGCAGAGAGTGATACCACTGCCGATATTGCCACCGCTACAAAACAATTCACTTTAGCGTTTGCCGCATTGCGTAATATTTTCACCATGCTCTTTTTTCGAGGTGTATTATCGTTCTTCTGCTGGTGGTTGTGTCTTACGTGGTTTGTAACAAGCATGTTTGGAATCGTCTACTATACATATTTCACAATATCGTGAGAAGCAACTGTGCACATAGACTCTGTTGCTAGGTAATCATGATGTGGTGGACCCTGTTGCCAGGTAACTGGGATATGAATGTGTGTGGTTGCCAAGTAACCGGGATTGAGTTTGAAGAGCAATATCCTTCAATAATGTTGTTTTAATGGTTGCATGGTCATTAAAATACATAGGAAATTATTTTTTATTTGTTTATTTATTATATAACTATAAAAATTGAATTCCTACTTAGTGCTATATGCTGAACACCTTCCACTGATTATTCAAATCACCATGGCAACAATTTCTGAAATACTAGTATTGGAGCACTGAAGCTAGTCTACACTGAAGTTTGTCGTGTCCAATCATCAAATCATTGTTGTAATCATTCATGGCCACTTTATTTTAGGAGTGCTTCTAAATTTGATTTCTGGCCGGATTCTGTTGGATAACATTTTACATGAACTGTACAAAATGAAAAGCCCTTATGATGCTTACAGGGATCAGTGAGAAGTTTACTGCACCAAAGTCAAAGTCATTAGTCAAAACACCACAAAATAAATCCACATTATTTTTTTCATTTGTTTTCAAACATGTTGATCAAAACCTGTTGTTGACATCAAATTATGTTCATTTTGTCTGAAATTGACAAAGAAATTATAGAAAAATACATAAATATGTACAAACTGTTGCATCAACATTTAAGCGGGAAATATTTTGGCATTCAAATGCTATATGAAATCACAATGTAGGTCATCACTAGCAAATTTATGTTTGGTCAGATACAGGCTCCAATTGGACACTATTTGTAAAAAAACACTCACAGAAATAAGAAAAGATTGACAAATTTATAAAAAAAAACAACTAACAAATTGAAAATCAATACAGCTTTATAAAAGTCAGAAAAGACTGCAAATAAAATAAAGTCTAACACCATAACTTCTGCACTAGCTACTGAAAAAACAAAGAAAACAACCGTAAAACAAAATAAATTTGGTCTGGGCCCACCCCAATAAAACCTCCAGACCTTGTTGGGCAAAGCAGATTCTAACAAGTCAAAAACTAGAGGGGAAGACAAGCACTGAGACGAAACAGTCACTCAAGAATAACAAGAAGCTAACTGTCAGGATGAAATTTTCAAGCTGACTCTGTGACCCCATGAAATGTCATCAGTGGTTACAACATGGAAAGGTATGCAACTGTA